AAAAATTTCATAACACTTCAATGCTTCTGTGCGTCTCTGCGCAGTTTATAGAAAAATGCATAAAGACAATTTCGTGGAAAAAAGCATAACTGTGAACAGCGTCTGGAGTCATCTATCAAGAAAAAATTAGCAAATTCGGCCTGAAGTGAAAAGAAAAGAACTAAAATCCTACATTTTACCATTTCGCCATGCAGAACCAGACTACCAGTGGTTCTGTAATCAAAGCCCCAAATCTGAGGCAATTTTGGACGAGTTAGAAGCTCGAAATTTCAAAAGTACAGTCTACTGCAGTACGGCATAAATAACCCGAAGTCAGCTTTTAGGCCCTAACGTTAGACTTCCTGACCGACTGTCCGGATGACTTAATAATCCTGACAATGATTTACTCTCACCATAACTTCTACCTATTGTGTTGAAGTGGACTTGAAAATGCTCGCACAGCCAGATGCAGCACAGCGGATACCTTTGAAGATCGCAACAATGGAATCATGCTTTGTAAATTCTTGCATTCCAGAAAAGTTTTGGTGGTAGGCCGACATGCGAGATTTCAAAGCTACATTGCGGAACGGGAGATGATCATCGCCCCTTTGTACCACTTTTTTACGTCTGTGTATGCCATTTAGGAATGAAACACGCAGAAACTACTGATAAACGACCATACTATTATGCTACGGATTCTGGATCTTCCATTCCTTTTTGGTACTACTAGAGCTCGGCTCAGCTCGGTCGCCGTTGAGAGACGCTATCGTTTCCCTGCTAATGCTATTCTGACGCGTCGCTTGTCGACACTGCTTGGCATGATGCCGGCGAATGCAACCCAACGCTCGGTGGCTAAATAACGTGGCTGGAAAGTGGTGGGTAGAGAGATTGGAGGTGGGAGCTGGTGGTGATTGTTGGGTGCCCAGACGAATTTCCGCCACCGCCAGTATAAACCTCGACTAATAAGCAACGAAAACAACGCTCCAGTAATGATGAAGGTGAATTAAGAGATGAATGCACAGTCTGTATGAATGCCAACGTGACATTTTTCACAAGGTATAATCTTTCTGATGCTATTTTAGTCGGTTTTCACGTCAATTACTAAACCTGAGCTTCGCTCGAGGGCCACTGTGAAAAACCTAGCCTCTACGCCAGCGCTGTTTCGCGGCATCGCCTGTCGGCACTGCTTGGCATTTTGCCGGTGGGTTACCCAGCTAACGGCTCAGCTACTGGGCGCTGGGAGGCTTACCCAGCGCTCAATGG